GAAAACATTCGTGTACGTATTGCCGTAGTCCGTAATTTGTACATAATTCACGAGCTTATTATACATGCAATGTCTACACGCTTGGATGGAAATGAAAAATTATCATTATTTTAGACTCGAGGTGAAGCCAGGAATGTGTTTTCCTTTAAAATGTAAGATAAATAATGCATCAAGCAGATATTGTAGTACCGTGTTATCGTTTAGAGGTTACTTTGTCTTTTCAAAAATTTGGCTTGGATACATGTATATTATATATATTATTGTGTATAGTACAATGAATATGAGTTTGTGTTTTCATGACATTTACGCGTGTTACTCGATTGCGTATTATATTTTCGTGTGGATAAAATTTGTATTTTCAAACGAAATACTTAACGGAAAAGGTATTACTTTTTTTTAAAATTTAAACTGACGATAAGATTGCGGAGCAGTTCGTACTAAATTACCTAGATGTCATATGATACGAACAAAACCGTGCTATAAATCGTGAAAAAAAACACTACGTTCTCAATAAACCTGTGAAACGTAGCTTTTAATGTAATTTTGATTGCATTAATTTTCTACTGCTGGCTAATATGGCTAAGACAACACAATAGTGTATTATTGAAAATAATACGAGTTGAAGTAACGTACATTTTAATAACTATATAATTGATCATGATCTCCGATTTCATTGAACTTTTTCGTATAGTATATATTTATTTTTTTTTTTTTCGTAGTCATTTGATAATAAAATTTGAAACGCAAGATTCTGTTATGACATTTAGTCGTTTTGAAAATGAAATACGGCTATCACTCAGATAACACGGTATTTTCTCTTGTTCATTTTTTTTATGTTCAAAGGACGAGAGACTTGTGAAAAAAAAAAGTAAAAAGTATAAATTATATAGTTCAACGGTTTCCATACTCGTTTAAGTGGGCTCGCCTACTCTCGGATTTTATATAAAAAAAGAATAATCGTAAACCATTTGTATAGGTACACATTTTACATGAACATAAGGTTACCTTATTACATTGTGTATACGAATACATTTTTAACCAGTGTAAGAATCGGACGGTATAAATTTAAGAATATTTGTTTTTAGGATAAAATTATATTCGAAACGCATGTTATTCGTTATTATTGCGCAATAAAATTACTGCTGACATTTACTTAGACCAAGGGTTCTCAACCTTTTGAGGTATTTAGCTCCTTTCTTACTATTTTATGATGTCATGCCCTCTTCCCACGAAGATCTAATTATCTTTAATACATATAAATTTATATATTTTAATATAAACATAATACCTTTATAATGGTTAATGGATTAAAATTATAATATGAAAATCAATGAAGTTATTTTAAATATTAAATGAGTTTATTTGCTAGGAAAAAAATATTATTATAATTTAAAATTATTTAAAAGAATTATAATATATTCACTTTCTTAAATATTAAATTTAAAATGTATTAATATTAAGTAGATATGAATTAAGATGGTTAACACTACATAGTTTCAATTAATTATGACTTAATATCGTCTGGATTAAATATAAAAATAAACATAAATAAAGTTTTCATGTTTCGTTGCTTTTTAAAAATGTTTCACGCCTCCCCTGAAATTTTATCACGCATAAGGTGGCGCGTCTCTCAGGTTAAGAACCCCTAACTAAAACGTTGATTTAGAATAACCCTCCAACACATATCAGAAAATCTAAACATAATGCATGAGTTAAATATTATTTTTAGCGACCTAATTATTTAACCATCTCAAAACGTTTTTAAGAAGTTACTAATTAATACAATATTAAGTAATTAATACTTTTCCATTCAAGTTTATTAAAAATAATACTTGAAGATCTTGTAAGTGTTTTTAGTTATTTGATACCTTAAGCTCGGAAAATTATTTTAAGATACTATAACGCTTTTTCGAGGAACTAAAATATAAACACATTGACAAATATTGTTATTATTTTGAAAAGGTATTATCATTAAGTTTTACCAACAAATATTTTTATTTGCATCGTATTTAATGTATCATGAATAAAATGTTTTGTAAATTGCAATTAAATTAAAGATTTAGAGTCTAAAAACTATAACAAGATTATACATTAAATATATGTACATTGTCCCCATTCTTAGGATTACGTATATTCATATATTATAAACATATTTCAACGAGGTAAAAAACTGTTTGTGTTCGTATACGATATACATTTAGTTTACACAGATTTAAGAGGATTTTAGTTTATAGGAATATAACAAAAGAAAAAGCCAACATCAATTATTAACACGATTGCGAAATTATGTAATAAAAATATTTTGATTTCATATTATTATTTTGTATTTGAACATTGATTAAAATTATAGAAAATTTAAATTTAAAGCATTTAAAAGTTATGAACAAATATTTATTTATTTAAAATCTTATAAATTGACCTCGAATATATCACCGACCAGAATATAATATAAAAAATATGGGTACTTTATCTGTGTCATAGAATTAAAATATTTTAAGATGGTTTATTTTGAATGCACAACACAACCATTCGACTTATTTTCATACATTTCTATTTAGAATGTGAATAGTGTACCGATTAACACATCAGGTGAAATCCGGTCGGATGTGTCCGTCACATCTTGTACCCATATTATTAAATACAAAATACTACATTATGTGAATTCGTTAGAATAAATGTGAATAAATGGAAATCACTGTTATCATATTTTGACGTATAGACAACGCATAAAATAAAATTGAAACGTTTACAGGAAATTAAATGCCTCCGGGAAATAGTTTTAAATGTAAAGAATGTTAAGGCATTTAATTTAATAAGAATGCTGAGAAAAATGTCAAGAATGAATTAATAATTAAAGGAACAGTGGAAACGTGGTCGTTATATGATGATAATTTACCAATAATTATTATTTAAAGAAAACAAAATCAATATAACTTTAATTAATTGCAAATTTTCATTTCTTTATCGTTACAATTTTTCAAAACGTTTTTGATGAATTGGTTTATTTTACATTTCAAGCAAGAGAGTTATTAGTTTTGAACATTTACAATGAATGGCGTTTTTATATAGGATATTACTTTTAAAGTTGTGTAAGATGTTGGATGTAAGTTTATAGCCTATGAATGTATCGATTAGAAATCGTTTGTTATTTTAACGTACGTGGAAGTTCCGAAATGTATTTTCTCCTAATAGAACGAGATTATTTTTGTTTTTGAAAATCAGTTGCAATTGGAAACGCTATACTACGATGATAATCAAAGGCGGTATCACATTCAAAAGGGGAGAGGTATAATAATCGATATCGTATATAATAAGTATTTCAAAATTGTAGTTATATAAAAGTAGAAATGTATTTTTAATTCTGACTGATGTAACTCGTAATCCTTGTCTTTAGGCAATCAAAACAGCTAGTTGTTTATTACAACTAATCGTAGTAGAGAAATATAAGTGTAATTAATTTACTATAGGATATCGTTTCAAGTATCTACATGCATCCGCACATTTTCATTAAAGTAGAATGAATGCCTTTATTTAAATCAAAAGTGATATATAACGTTGCGCGTTTGTACGTTGAACGACATCGTTATGTCACAAAAATAACCGAAGAACACGGAAAAAAATAAAATAATAAATGGATAATAATTTTGAACGCGACTATGAAGTAGTTAATTATTGGTAATAAGTTAATACTAATGCTGGAAGAAGAAAAAAAGTCGATACAAAACGGGAGGGAAGAAATTTTATGAAATTGATACAGCATGACAAATGAACTTGTGGAGAATGTGAAAAAACAAACCAGATCACGATAATTACGGTTAACAAATAATACGTGCGGGGTATGCACATCAGAGAAGTCAAAAACCTTGCATTATCGGCAATCGCAGTGCGCGTGTCGCATGAATCACGAAAGTGTTTCGCCGCTAACGAGAAGTCATCATTTCCCGAGAAGGAACACTCTCAGGATTACTGTCAAACATTTTGAGTTTTTATCTAGAATTCAGGAATAACTGCACCACAGCCAACCGATCGATATCGGTCCGAACGGATGTTCGAGGAGTGCTCCCTTCCCTTTACCTCTCCACCACCGCCACCTCGACCCGATGTAAAAAGAACGATTATAAGGAAACCAGGATCGCCCCCCCCCCCGACCGTATAAACGAGCGAAGAGATACGCACACGTGGAATTTCCAACGTTTTTTCGGTCTACCGATTCGCATCAGTGCCGTAACGGATAAGGGACGGAGGGAAAAGGATAAACGAAATAATTCAAGAGCTGCTGCATCGGAGACTTGATATTTTATTTTTCGATCTAGTCGAAAAGCATAAACGCGTGTACATAATGCAGACGTATGTGTGGCGGATGTCACGAAATCAAAACCAAGGAAAGGAAGACGAACACGTACATATATGCATATTGCAACGATAAAAAGCTGACGTTCGAGAGTGGTGGTATAGGTGGCTGGAGATGATGATAGCAAGGGCGTTCAAAGGGAGTACGGGGGGAGGGACAGGGATGGTTGCGATTTTCTGCGATTTCAGGAAATAAACGTGGCGATTCGCGAGGCTGTCGTCACAACGTGTCGCGCGACGACCGTGACCGCGGTCACGATCGTAGTTATTTTTATTATCACTAGCTGTTCACCGTTGCAGAGGTCCTTCGCAGTATTTTCCGTGTACGCAAGCACACACACACACACACACACACACCCGCGCACAGGGTTTCACCTCGAGACGGGGTGCGGACCATGGGTTTGATGGGTGGGAAAGAGATGGGGATTGAGAGAAGAAGATTCGGTGGATAGGACCGATCGGTGGCGGAGGAGGGCAAGGGGCGGAAGAGCATCGGTTGTCTGACTATTGTGCGCGGGCAAGACTGCTGCCGCCGCCGCCGCCGTTTGCGGTGGTTACGGCGGCGGCGCTGGTAGCGGGTCGCAGGGTGCGGACGACGGCGGCGGCATCGGCTCGGGCTCCCTTTGCCACTATCAGTTGTTCCGGTCGAGCTTTACGCGTCGCACGCACCAACACCGTGCGCTGTTTCATTTTTGTCACCGACACCGCGCGACGATTTTTTTCTCGACTCATAACAGTATCAATATAATATCCACTCGTCCTCGGTCTCTTGCGATCCTTCGAAGACGTTGCACTACCGTTGTTTTTCATCTTATTGGCCCGTCATCATCTTTCCTACTCACACGTACTGCTCGTCGTTCAGCACGTTTACTGTTCTTCGACCTAGTTCTCCTCCGCGCCGATCCGCGGATTGCTGCAATATTTACGTCGTTCATCTGCAGACACAGAAGTTCGCGGGATACTTCGCACAGGTATGGTACTCTTTTTTTTGCCATCTCTTTCTCGACCTCGAAACAGCCGGAAAACTCCAATTGTTTGCCGAAAAATGGCCAGAGATAGTTTTTTTTTCGTCTCATCGACAATTCAATCGATCGCAATCCTCGGTGCGCACGTTAATCCGGTTTCGTAGTATACCTTTACAAATCTGTACGCGTACGACGTCGTCCACACACGACTAACTTGAAATTATTAAACCGACGAGTTTCACCGCAACAATATTACATCCTATTATATTATAATATTGCATAATTTACTAATTATCGAGAAATTCCACTGGACAAACAACAGCTGACTAACCCGTTAGGAGCTCGATGGCTACAGCTCTAAAACTGTCTATACGTCGACGACAGGGCTCGTTTTCACTGGCGCAAACTCAGCATAAATGTACACCCATCAAACAATTTTTATAGATTATTATTATATAATACTATGTAAATGACGTAAGCTTTTAACAACGGCGCGACTCATTATTCAATGGTTGCCAGCAATTTTTTCGCATTTGATTCCAAGCCACCGCGGTAGTTGTTAGTACAAATTCTGTTGTATCGTTCGATCTTACGAATCCTAAGTTTTTTTCAAATTGATGTGTATACCCGAAGTTTGAACGAAAAATGCCGTTGACAATCAAAGTCAAACGATGGAAAGTCTAATGCATATAATCTATTTATCTATTCAACGAACAACTGCTAAGATAAACTTCGAAAATACGCTATACTAATGAACAATAATACACTACTATGGATTACAACACATTTTATAATTCTAATAAATCAGTCCCGGAAAACAATTAGTGAAAAGTGAATTTTCAGCCGTCTTGGAAATCAACAACAAAGGGTTCTTTCCCCCACGTGTTATGTAGGAGCCAATTTAATGATTACCACCTGTACTATTCCCTACTGAGCAATTACTTTAGATATGTCTAGTTACTTTAATATTCTTTCGTACTTTTTTTTCAATATAATACATACAAGTATAACTTAAATACAAAAACTTCAACAACATATTAAAAGATACGTGAATTATAACATCGTTAAATTATTTTTTTGGTTTATACTCAATAATTATATTGTGTTAAATAGTTATTGTGTTTAAAGTTAAAGTTGTGTTAAAGTTGTTCAATATTATTTTTTTTAATCCTATGAAATTAAATGCTATTTTAAAAAATACCTATTCAATATGTATTTAATAATTTTTTATTGTTGAGTTCATAAAAAACTACGTTTCAAAAAAACTAATTTTAAATAACTATTTCTTTTTAAACATATCATAACAGGATGATATAATAATTAATGTATTCTAAGTTGATAAACTTAAAGTTTTATACTTTATTATCAATTATTAAGAGCGTTTATTTGCGCACGATTAAACATATTTTCAAATCGTTAAGTAAATAATAAACGCCCTATAGAAGGTAAAATATTATAACGGTTTAATGCATAAGAAGCGAAATGTTTCATATGATTTTGTCTGATAACGTAATATATTGAACATTTCATGAACATTAAATGAAACAAAAGCATAAGACATATTCAAATGGAATCCGTAAACACCTCCGATATAATTACAAATAATGTGAGTGAGAGTAAAATGTATCTTTTGCTGGTAAATAATAAAACGACGTTACTCGGTGGTAAATAACGGTAGTTCCGTTAACCGTTGCGTATACTGCGTAGTTCAGTGTAGCCGCTATATAGCAGTTAATTCCGTTCGGTAATGTTTTGATTAAATAACAAAGATCGTTATAGTTTATTTTTTTTATTGTTCACCGAAATTCATTACGATACAAAAGTAACAAAAGTAATAAAAAAAAAAAATAAATAAATAAATAAATAAATAAATAAAATAAAATCTAATAAAAATAGTTGTTTGTCAAACAAAGCATGTTCAGCTCTAGAATATTGGACGCAATCGACTGGAATTAGTGTAAATTGTTTAAAATGTTAAAATATATTTTTTTTTTTTTGTATTTAATCGCCGAAAGTATTATCACCGACACGTGCTAGTAGCGGTAGAATCGTGCCGCGAAATAGTTTTATTGAAATTCCTCATAACACGCAGTAGTAGTCCTCAATCCGCGGTACATATATATAGTAACTCTTGTACAGTATTATTCCGAAATATTATGGGCTATAATGTATGCGAAGATGACGACGACGAGACACACGACGCGACGCCTTGGGAATTGTTTTGGCGAATTTCCTTTGTGTCACCGCATGATTAATGGGGATAAGCGAAAATTCAAACGGGAAATTCTATTTTTAATAATATCGCGGTACAACGACCGAGCGAGTGCGGTGTGCTTACACATTGTAGTCGGCTTATACGGAATTCTCGATGCACTCGCCGTGCAGGGAGCAAAGCCGGTTTCGGACGTCGGCAGTTCAAAGTCCACAGTCTGAAATTAATAAATACGCGAATAATCCTCTGGGGTTGGACGTCGTGGCGGTGGCTTATCAAAATTAGTTTTGTCAAACATTTCGCAGCGTTCGATCGCGCAAATTGCACGGGTTAGCACGTTGAAACTTAAAAAAAAAAAAATTAAAAATGTGTTAGTACCCATTCAAACATAATTAGACAGAGGAGAATTAAACCCCAGTTGTAGTTTTCCACTTGCCAAAGGGCAGCAGAACTTCGGTAGACGCTGGTGATGGTAAATTTGTATAATCTATTGTACCGGGTGCGCGTGAATGAGGCCACCCCGCGGGTTTTGTCAAGTCGTCGTGAGTGTGTTTGTGTATTCCGGTAGAAGAGAGTTCGACGACGAGAGCGGCTGTTTACCGTTTCGCATTATCGTTATGGTATCGTAACAGAACTTATCGTTTCATTGCGCGTGGGCGCGAAAAAGACGCAGCCAGTTAAGGGTAATAATATAACGCACTACGCGGCGACGAGGGTCGGAGGTCGGACGCCATGGACCGGCTGCCGTTCCCTAGCTCGTTGCCGGCGATAAAATTAAAAGTAACTCTATACATATATATAATATGTACGTTCGAGGGTTCGTGTTCTAAAACGAAACAAACAAAATGCCTCTGCTCGGGCCCCAATTGCACTTTTGGGTAGAAAGAGCTCTGGCCTTAAGCCGGAAAATAATATTTTTCTTTCGGCTTCTATTTTATATAGACATTAAATTTTTTTTATTTATTTTTTTTTATCGGGCTCGTGCGGTAGGGATCCTACGTATAGAGCGACTTTTTTTTGAACCGCAATAACAATTCACTTGTACACTTGTTGTGTATTCTGTCCGATTTGGCGAACGCATCAGTCACTACATAAACATTATTATGATTAAGTCCCTTATAGGGTTTTACAGCCACGAATTATGATATGCATGAAACATGTTTATTAGTTATTTATAAAAATTGGTTTAAAAAATAATGTTTTGTGCTGTTCTTCTTCTTATTATTTTTTTATATATTTACTGTTTTTTTTTCTTCTTTATTTTAGTCATAATAAGCTATTAATTTATTCAACTGCGCTATTATTAACAATGAAATCGTCATTACTGCAATATTTATTCTCTCCGAATCGTTAAGTCTGAATTATTATTTATAATATTATGGTTACACAATAAAAAAAAAAAAAATACCTACTTTTCAAGTAACTATTACTAATAATAATTCTTTTGCATTTTTCTTACCGCTAATTATACTTTTGTTTTTTCAAAATGTTATTTTTATTCATTTATTAACAACGGAAAGGTTGTTAAATATTATAAATAAATATTATCGTGTGGTCGAAAAATATTGGAGAAAGACGTAATAGTTTTCTATAACTTTTCTAAATAAATGATAATGATTTGTCATGTGTTGTATATAAGTGTATAATTACTATCGAAAACAATTGTATGTGAATTTGAAATCACGTGACAATAAATCTTTCAAACTCCCGTTAAAGTAATCCAATCGTGGTAGTTATAGATATCATAAACACTGTAAAGTTTCAATTGATGTGCACCAAACCGATCGAATTCGTTTGAAATTAAAAACCTATTGCCTACAACACTGCCGCTTTGATGAAATATACTATATTTTGAATAATACGATGTTTGTAATATATTTTTAATTCCGAAAAAATGTACGCTATTTTTTGGTAAGACTAAAGAGGTTTTATAATATACCTATATAAAAGGATCGGCGTATAGACGTAGAATAATATTTAACTAAATATAATTATTATCAATATCACTACTATTATTACTATTATTATTACGTAGTCATTAGATTTATGCATCACGCACGCTAAGTCTTATGAATTCAAAATCATGAAATATCCGTACTATAATGTAAAATAATAATTTATAAACCGAGTTAAATAATAAACGTCGTTGTTATAATACCTGTGCAACTGTCTGAAAACATACATCGATAATTATGACAAAACATTGTTATATTAACTTATGCTTTTTACGTAGATTATTTTTATTTTTCAATAGTATAATATTCTATATCGTAGTATAACGTTCATAATAATATTATATTTATACATTTTATTTTTAATATCAGATACCCGTGACATGAAACGTTGATGTGTATTTTATACGAACAGAATAATAAAATTGTTATGACGTTACATTTTGATATATTGTGTAAACATCTGTTAGGAATTCTTAAATTCGTTGCAACTAAATTGTTTCTACAGGAATACTTAAACGTACGGTATATTAAAATTATACCATTCGAATTTAGATTTTTGAATATTTAATATGTTGATGAACCAAATTAAATATACTTAGATGTAATAAATACGCTAGAGAGGTTAATTTATGTAAATTTCATAGTGTCTAAACATTAATTTTGTGAACTTAACGCATAATTAAATGATATTGATAATTTTTTTTTCAATGTTTAGTTTTGTGTATAATTTGTAAAATAAGTCGAGAATTTTTGATCTGAAATAGTTCATAATAGATTTTTATAACTTATACGTTGTGAAACTATTGTGTTATCATATAACATAGTATAATTCAATAAAA